CAATAGGATTTTTTGTAAAAAGTTGAAATTCGACAAATATTTATTTCAGGAAGTTCCCTTCTCTACAAATAATTTACTCTGAAGTCTGGATCTAGTTAACAACAGAAACTTATAGTAAAAATGTTGTAATATAAGGACGTCGATTGTTTAATAATAAAATTTAGCTCATTAATTATTAAAGCAAATTACGCACATCCATTCATGGATTTAATTATCATAATAAAACAATTCTAGATAAAAAAATATAAAGTAAAATCCTTTGAAGGTTTTAACACGAATTCTGTATATTGATTGATATTTACATAAAACAGCCACGGGGTCTATAAATCGCTAAATATTTATCAATGGATTCAATCTACACTTTACAACCCAGGTCACTAAACTAGACGGTTTTTAGTCTAGAAATTCATAGGTATAAAACATACAAGCTCGTTTATTTGTCAACCATATAATATACAGAGTCACGTCACAGGGGTCGACAAACCTACCGCACAGTTTTTGTCTAAAAATAGTGAGTTACGTAACTAATGAAATAGCAACAATAACTGCAGCCTTGAACGACTTCTGTAGGCGTATTGTAGTGTATAGATACTGTCTTACACTATTAAATAACCAAGTAGTATATAATACCGTGATATTCTATCCCAATAAAATTGCATAAACATTTCTCTTTAAAACAACCACGTATATAGTAAGTGAGATGTCTTACTCGACATTTATCTCGGCTACGTTCACGCGTAAAAATAACAAAACATTATAGTAAATAAAGCAAGATAAGCTGTATGTATACAACGAATGTTGCCTACATTTTGCAGTTTAATAATATTCGATATTTGGAAACTATAGAGCGGTTATTTAAATCTTGATAACTTGACTTTAAAAACAAGATAATAAAATATTGCTTTTACTTATCTAGAGATTCCATTTATAAATTAAATTAATAGCTTCTTCTTTTGAGTAAATTATGGCAAAATAGGAAATTGGAAAGTTTTTCGTGAGAAAAGACAAGATATAAATCATTCCTTGTCGTCATAGTTTATAATTCTTTACTTTTTAATGGCCAAAAACGAGTGTGCCGTCAAGGAATATGCACAGATGTGGAGCCAGCTGTTTCTATGACACTCACGTTCACCAATCTGGCAGTGTGTTTGTACTTACTATACAACCACACTACGGGTTTGGCTCGTTAAATTTTTATTGCCACAAGGTCGCCACTTTATGGTCAATTCTGAACAGTTATTGTTCGTGGACAAACTTTTTTTACAACTAGCGTCAATCACTATGTAACGGCAAAATTACGATTGACAGTGATTAGGTCTTAATTGTTATGAGGCAATAAAATGTCTTTTATAAACTCCGAAAGTGTTATAATAATCTGTTTTGTTTGGTTGGTTACGTTATTGTGTAATAACAGTGATGATAAAGGCTTATTAATGTTATATGCAGTTAAGTTATAAATCCGTTTTTAGACAGTTTTATGCATACGAAAACAATTGTAATGACTTCATACTGACAGTGACGTGTTTGTACGATACGCGCAAAGCGTTAAGTGTAAAGTGGCGTTTACATACGGGTACAATTTGCCTGTAGGCCATTCACTTTGTATGAACACTAGTTAGGTATGTTAACGTATTTTTTAACTGCATGCGTTTAAAACGTGTCGCGGTTGTAGATTTGTTGGGTTTTACAAGTTTTATATTTCCATACGTGTTTCCACAATGCTGTCAATTACATATAAACAAGCTCGCGTTTCACGCTGTGATTTTATTTAAAAGAATAAGATTTATTTATCTATAAATAACATTGTATATATATATATAATAGTGAGGTAATCAATTCAGCTCATGTCATATACATATTTAAACTTATCTTTTACATTTTTATTTATCTATGTTAGGAACTTTTAAATAAATAATATGTGGCATAAAGAGCTATTAATAAGGATATCAATATGTATCTGTTAAAGATTGTTATAATAATTAACACTAGTAATCATTATGTAAGTTTAGTAATTTAATTGACAAACTAATATTGGTAAATTTAAAAAATTTTAATATCTCTACAACAACACATGCTTTATTTTAAACTATTCTATATAATACTTACTCGTAATAAAATTCAATCAAATTTCTAAATTATTTATAAATAAAAATTTCTGATAACAATCAACAAATAAAAACTAAAAAAATAACGACTATCGTGGTTTTTTACGGATTCTTGGTAAATGATTTTCGACACATTTGAACAGAGTAAAAAAAATACAATTTCAAAATTAATAATAGCTATCGTGAGTCATATTGTAATATAATTATTAATCACGTATTAACTTTTGGATTTTCCGACTAGTTTCGAACTCAATAACAGCCTTTATTCATGAGTTCAAAGCAGGTCTAGGTAATGTTACTACTATGCGATCAACGAGCTGTTGAATATAAATAGTCGGGCAACTTCAAATTTATAAATAACTATAATTAAAATATGATTGCGATCAAGTTTAATCAAATAAAGTTTATTTATATTTCACTAATTTAATTTGATTCATTTAACGCAGATGAAGATTAAATTTACCTCTGTGTTTAGAATATTTACCAAAAGATTTCTTCGCTTGGTCTAAAATCACCTTTACACGAAAACACCGAAACCGCTTACGTGGTAACCACGTGCAGTACATTTTGCAATCGTGCACCGTATGATAACAAACGATGTTTTGACTACAATTTCGGCGATATCGGCTTTCGAGAAACGGTCGCAAAGCGTTCGTAATAAAGCAATTTGTGAGTGCACCAGCAAAACAATGGCCCGTTCAAAGCTTGTTTAAAAAGCTTCGACACTGTGATTTAAAACCCTTCGGCTCGCACCGTATTTGTAAACAAGCAAGCACAAAGGCTGCTTGTTCCTGAACAAAGGTTTGCGCAACTACATCGCCGTAGAGCTTTGTTAACTTTTTTGATATTGCGCGTAAATAGAGTGAAAGTAGTGTTGTCTTATACGTATTTTCTACCTTTAGAGTTCCCTATAGTTGGAACAAACATAAAATCTATAAAACACTGTATTTAACAGCTTTGAGAAATTTACATAAAAAAGTAAAACATCCTTACTGAAACGGAGATAATACTTTTAATATACAATGAGAGGATTTTAGAATGGAAAACTACAGAAAAGATAAGAAACAGACATTAGCAAAAATGTATTTTTTTAAAATATAAAAACAATATGTCTAAAAAATATATAAATTTCAAATGACAATAAGAATATAAAAATGTAGCAAGGAGTTCGCTTTACTTACATTATTTTAAACGTGATGTATAAAAGAAAATGCTATACAAGAAAAACCTAACATGAATGTTTGTTTTATGCAATTGTTCTTATCTATGCAAAGTCAATGCAAAAAAACTTCTGTTTTGCAAAAAAATTGCAGTCTTTCATAATATTTTAAATTATTACCATCTTGTATTATAATACTTATAATTAATTTATGACATAAATAATTTTCTATCTGCGAAGTTTTTCTATGGGTGGAAGAAGTAGGTACTTATCATACCTACATCAACTATCCCTCCCACACAAGAAAACTCAGTAAAATACTGATATTAATACCTTTAATAACACGATAGGCGAGTATTATATTTATAAAATTGTACGGAATCATTTAAAACGTTCCGTTATTTTTTACCTTAATGCGTTCGGTTTATTGGCATTGACCCACTGTTCGCCTTTTGTTCTTGGTGAAAGTTTGTATTCATTGGGAACTTTATAAACCCTTTCAATTATTTTCGCAATAGTACAAAAACCGTGAAATCATTTGTTTCCATTGCGAAATTCCTGCTGTGTTGCTGACGTATATAAAAAAAAACTTCCTAAAAAAGTCAGTCCGCAAAAAATGGAGAAAACGAATTGTATGCTCAGGTAAAGCTAACATAATTATCTATTACGATGTAACGATTAGTATTTCAAATGCCATTAATATCTAAGATGGTTAGATACTTGTTATGTGTGTGTACTACTAGGTACCAAGTAGGTATGTAATACCATAATACGTAATTGTTACAAAACTATAGTAAGGGTTTAAGTTCAGTAAATAATTAGGCAGTCTCTTATTACCTTTGTTCTTGTTACACTATATCGTTTAGGGACTATTAATTCCTTTATCATACGAAAACACTAGTAGGCAGGTATATACAATTATACTGAACCAAGGATCCCAACTATAGTAGGTATTTTTTAAATATACCAAAATTTTAAAATATACCCAACAAAATAGACACACAGTTTTACACGCACGTCATTATCAAGTCAATCAATAATAAATTGAGGAAACATAATCTTTACGTTTTAATTATTTGCATTAATTTGACGAAGCCATATCAAATTAATAATTGCAACTAAATTGTACGGAAGGCGTTTAGTCATATTAATCTATAGGCCTTTACACACGGGCGACAAACACACGATGAGTTTAAAATATTAGTGGGTATTAAGACAATAATAGGAGATGGATGTATTTATGTCTGAGTTAAATAATCCTTTATAATTACAAAATTCAAAAATTGTTATTGTTTATAGATAGTGTCATGTCGCATAAACAACAAAATGTGTCTGTGTTACTCTACTACTAGAAATAATAGAAAATATGAGATTGTTTTAGATTTTACAGGAACAGCATGAAGCTGATGAATTATTATTTAATTTTATAAAATGTTTTTCTATGTTTATTTACATGTTTTTCGGATAATTATCTAAATGTTTTATTAATGTCAATTTTAGAACACATGTTAATATATCTATATTGACAATCGATTGTGTATGATTTTTAAGAAATCATAGTTAAATTAATGATTCTATTTTTTTTCACTATTAACAATTCTTTTATATAATAATATTTCCATCACATTAATCGCACAAACATGTGTTTAAAAGTCGCTCGTGTGTACCTATGCCTTCTTATTTTTAAACTAAATATACTTAAAACTAAAATAAAAAAAATTTGAAACGATAAATACCATTGAACTCACCGCAGACCACGCGGTCGAAGGGGCTCATCCAATCTGGAAATGGAAAATCTATTATCAATCGTATTGAAAGTTCTTTGTTTCGGCAGAGTCGCATGCATCACATATAAAAGCTTTAAAGAAATCTCTTTAAATATTTGTAGTTTCAAGTAAAATAAAAGTTTTACAGCTAAACAAGTAGTAATAGGTGTCGAACAAAATTTATTATATATATGTTATATAATGTCAAAAATTATCATAATGGTGGATTACTATATTTTTATCTATGCATATCTACATACTAACTAAATAGATAGTTAGTCATCTTCTTCCAAAGTACCTATATGACACCTTAAAAAAGTATTTTAATATGTAAAATAAAAAATACATAACAAAAATCTATTATATACCTCAACCTCTATATCTATCACACGAAATTATATTATAAAATATTTTTTATCACAAAATTAACAACACAATATGATGCAAACAGTGATTTGTGGACAAGCACTTATTACATTGCATATGCATAAATTCGCACATACAAATGTAGATTTGCTACAATTGATATACAAAATAAATATAATAAAAGCGATTAAAATCAAGCAAATACTCATGCATGCAGTCAGGCAAAAGATTTTCCCATAAACATAGTACGTGAAGAAACGAACAGTTACGATTCGACGATAACAATTGCTAGTTAATTACTTTTTATCATTATTAATGTCAGCTTTATGAGCATGAACATTTTAATTGCATTTAACAATTACAAACCCATTTATGTTATAGCTCTCGCAAACACGAAAGGCGAAGCTTTTGTGATGTTCGGAGAAAACGATTTTAAGAGAAACGTTGTTGACGCAATTTTCATATAGCGTTAGGGACAATACATTTTCAGATGATAGTAATGCAGCAATCCAAATAACATCACAGTTTATATAACAATGTAATCAATAAAAAACTAAAGTATCCAGCTTATCACCTTTGCTACCAATAAGATAAATAGATCGTGGAAAGGTTATTAACTTTTATACGCCACCTTAAGGTGAAATATAACTTCAAATGATAGAAATACAGTAAAATATATTATTAAGAAGAAAAAGTATCTAGCTTATTATAGGAAGATCCTAGTTAAATAGTAGGTACAATGTGTGATCATAGAAAGATAATTTTTGCATGGCGTAAAAGACAATACAACTTCAGACGATAGTAAAATTTTTTTTCTTTATATAAAAATAAAAGTTTAATATCAATTTTGATACTATAATCTGAATACGTAATACAGATATCAGATCAATGCAAAAAGTAAGCGACCATGATCCCAAATAAAATAAAACACGGAACGTGACGAAGTTTGCTATGTAAATTGCGGTTTTGTTTTACATAATTACGTATAATATGTATCTAGAGTGAAGGCCTGACATTAAGACACTCCTAGTATTACAATATAAGAATAGATAGATAGTTCAGTTGCTAAGTAGTTCAATGTTCAATTCTAGTTCGCATTTTTGTTTCCATTAATCATTACGATTTTGATACGTTTTACCAAGTTTTTTCCTACGAAGTAAAATCCTAAACTCAGTATCAGAATTGGTATATACCCAAACTATGTATGTATTTAAAACTTATCTGCTGTTAAAATATGAAATAAATTATCTTTGTAATTTAAAAACATTTTATAACTGGGCAGTTAAAGGTCAGATAGATAGATTATGATCTCAACTATTCATGTTTCAAAGTAGACTAATAACTAAAGGCATTTTATTGGCTTTTATTCATTCATAATGTACCTAATCCACGAAGTATAATAGAAAAAAGAAGAAGTAAAAACAGAAAAAAGGTGAAGCAAATACAAGAAGAAGTAAAGAAAAAAGTAGAAGCATAAGTATCGTACTTATAAACTAAACTTGTAGCTAAATAATTACTGGGTATTTTAATTACAAATAGAGCATCAATTTTATAAAATAGATCTTACTTATTTATATTGATCAATTAACTGTAGGTTCAATATGTATTTATAATAGGATTTCAGTAATTACTATTATTTTCTCGAGATTTATAATTAGTTGTATAAAATCGTAAGAATTTACGTAGCAATTTACGTCTTTTGCATTTAATTCATTTTAATTATACAGTTACAGTTACTTTTACAAATGCACTTACTAAAAAAGGTTTCATTCAACAGAAAGTAATAGGTATTTAAGATAAAATTATCATTAAATGTTTTATTTTACTTTAATAAAATTTATCCGAATCAATTATTCAATAAAACATTCAATTAAAATTAATTTTTACTGTTTCTTTTTTTTTATATCCTTACCAATATTGTAAATTGTGTTTTTGGCGCTTTAAATGCTATACCACCTATCTCGAACGTTGATACTATCATTTCATATCAGCTTTTAACTGTCCATAGTTGAACATACGCCTTCTCCTTGGGAGGTTTTACCAGTAGTTGTCACGCTTGGCTTGGATTGGCAACTGCAGTTAGGCTTTAGAGATGTTGCTGCTCATCGCTCGCTCTCTCTTAGTCGCCTCTTACGACACCAACAAGAAAGAAAAGGGAGGCCTATTCTATGCCGGAACCACACGATCAAGTTGATATTATACTTGACACCAAATTAAAAAAAAAATTGATTTAATAATTTATAGTTGTTGCAAATTAATATTGTTAAAATTTTGTGGGCCCTGGTTGCTAAAGAATTTTTATTATTATTAATGCCTGTGTCATTTTCAAATACTCCATATCTTTCTCCATACCAAATATTATGCATTTGGGATGCAGAAGGCTAATTTAAACCCGGTCAATCAATATAATGCGTAACGGTCACGCAAACGAAGACGCGGGTAAAAACTAATTAAGCTATAATTCATTTTTCAAACGTAAAACGTCAAATAACGAATGTGTGTTCGACTCAATTGCAATACACTTTTTTTCGGAAGTATTTTGATCGGAAATATTTAAAATGTATCGATTGGATGCATTCGTTAATTACACGTAATTTATGTGCTCAATTATGTAGGTTTATAAAGAATTCAAATGAATGCGATACGTACTAATACTTGCAAAGTCACAATTCATTCGATGAGATAATTGGGGCCATGTAACCGTAGGCAAACGCCGAATTTGCCATGAGTGGCTTAACCCTAAAATGGAAAAGGTTAAGTTTCGTATCAGTCTCGTATTTCAAGTGAAAGATAATGATGTTTAGCCACGTTTTTTGTGATGACTACAACATAATGTTGTGCAAAGTTGTGAAGCAAACTGCAAAACGGACACAAATTTCATTAATGACTTTAATTTTTCTTAAATATTTAGAAATAATATAAATATACATCGGTTAAGATTAAAATTAGTTTCAAATTTGATTAATAATTTATTTACATTTAGTGAAAAAAAGTACAAAGTTTTTGGATTCACATTAAACATTGTTTTAAAGTACAGAAGCAAGAAATAGATACATCTCTTCTTCATATACCTACAAGTATAACTATATAAATGTAGAGACTAGATATTTATGGCAAAGAAGGTATAATTGAATTAGGATTGTCTTTGTGTTTTCTTTTAAAAATCTTCAGTGAAAATATGATGATTGTTAATTTAAACAAATTTTTCTACTTCTATCATAGGCTGAAATCATTATTCAGTATAATATCTAGAGGTAGAAAATCACTAGTATCATTCAAATTATGATGTCAAGTTAATCAAGTTAGGCTCAAAATTATTATCGTTTTATGATCTGTTTATTTGGAAAAATTTTCAGTAGTACTAGTAGATCATTCTATAAAAGAAGATTGATGATTATAATGCCTTTAAATAAAGATTAAGTGATTAAATAGACATATTCAACTTTAAGTTATAAAGGTTACTAATAAAACATAAGTATAAGTAAGTACCTAAATAATATAATATTACTTTATTTATTTGCTATAGCGAATCCTTTACCATCCATGCTGCTAGATGGTGGGATTTATGCCTATATATGTATAAATATGATATAATTGGTTATATATAAACTTTATATAGTTTTAGTTCTTTGTCTTTGTAAATTGTCATAGTATTAGCGCTATATAGTAATAGCGCTCTTCCCGCTGACTAATTGATGCTCGTTTCTGCTTTGTTGGAAGAGAATCTCATACCAGTGAGGGACGACAACTTTAACTTATAAACAAGTACTAGCGACCCGCCCCGGCTTCGCACGGGTGCAATGCTGATACTAAATATATCGACCTACTACAGAATGTCCTTATAAACAACGTTTACAGCTTTTTTGTCATTAGAAAATACAAACATGATAAAGTGCTATAGAGCGAAGCGTGGTCTTCGACGCGGTACTTATAGACACGCGTCGCCGGCCGGGCCGGCGTACCGCTATGTCCCTGCATTTTAAATCTGTAATATCTTCGGAAATATTAATTTAAATTACATGCTGTAAAGGGCCATATTGGCCATATCTATATTAAATTGACAATGTATTTTAGGTACTAAATTGGAGAAAAATTAATACTGTAATAACTTGACTAGTTAAGTAGCTTAAGTAGTTAACAACTTATTTTAATCAAGTAGGTAAATAGTACAATGTTAACTAAATTGCCAAGGGTAATTTTAGACTACCATTTTTAATTCAACTTTTATAGTGTAGAGAAAAATGAAAGTCATGGCCTCAGGGCAAGATGCAATTGATTCTGATCTCTAAATATTTTACCATAATATGGCAAAATGATCTTTATTTTTATATGCTCAAGAAACAGAATCCACCGCTCGTATCAAAGACAATGACTCGCCAGACGTAGTGTTTACGTTCTTTTCCATGCGTGCGATAGACTCGATTGAGTGTTTCTGTTTTCTAGCGGTAAAAATAAATTTATTTTATATTTTGCTGAGGCCGAAGTAGTATTTAAATATTATTAATTTTTAAGTATATAGAGAAGTGTGAATAACAAAAACAAATTTTTGAAGTAGGTATTTTAGCGAAAATAATTATCAAAGCAATACAGTTGATTCTAATCGTGTGAACAGTTTTTACAGTCTAATAGCTATAAGCTAATAGGTCTATATTTATTTATATTTA